TCTCCAATTATCTTATATTGTTTTATATTGTTATTATTTATTTATTGTTGTAAGCCGCCCTGAGGCTTCAGCAAATGGGGCAGCATAGAAGCTTTCTAAATAAATAAATAACCAAGCACCCAACCAGCTTTGGATATATTGCCAACTGGCTGTTTCCAGATAACTTTGTCCTCCATGGCACCTATGAAGCTTGAGCCTTTCTGGCTGCTTTTAAGCTACAACCAAAAGCTGGGAGACCAGACTATAGTCTGGGTCCACTGTGAGCTTCCAAGAACTCATGACCAACCAGGAAGCTAAGTTCTTCATGTTCTCTTTACTCTGAAAGAAAGCAGTTACAATTTTCTTGACTTCATTTTCCCTGCTGCCTTCTCTTCTTCCTCATAAATCCATCATTTATGCCCCTGGGTGGCCCATCATATTTTAGCAGCAGTCAAGTTGTCCCTTGGGATATAGTTTCCCAATCCAGTGCACCCCCTTCTACTTCTTATTTGATCAGAGTTCACTTTCTGCTGATTCTATCTTCTTCTGTCTGTCTTAGCCTTCTTAAAACTAGCACACTGGCAGCCACATATTAACCAAGCACGTTACTTTTACTTCTGTATAGTGTGCATTGCTTAAAATAGAACTCTGTACCAAGTTGACTTAATGGTTGTTTCGATTATTTTCCCCCTTCACTGCATATCTCATGCGTGCACAGTTGTGAGAATGAAAGGGTAAAGTTCCTTCATTCCCACAAACACCTTGAGCAAACATATGCAAATTCATATGTACAAGGGTGCATGGTAATAGCACCTGGGGCTGAGAGAGTGGGGGGAATTTTGGCATAATTTCCCAGGTTTTGTGCTGTGATGCAGAGATTTGCTGTGAGCTCACAGGCGCTCACCATGTGTGGGCAGCATGTGGGTGATACGGGTGACACAGACCCTGGTGACTGGGAACTGGGGAGTTTTCCAAAGATCCAGGAGACATGGCTGTCATTTTTTTTAATGCTGGTTGTGTGTTAGAACCATAGAATAGTAGAGCTGGAAGGAGCCTATATGGCCATCAAGTTCAGCTCCTGCTAATGCAGGACCACAAGTCCTGTATTTTCATTTAATTTAGTTTTCTTGCTTTTGAAAAAGAATTGTTGTTTCCGCTGCAGAGGACAGTCAGAAAGCACTCTGTGGAAAGGTATTATGGCAGGTTTTGCAAGTGTTCCCCTCCCCAGGTAAGCATACATTGGAAGCAGTGGCTGTTCTACCAACACAGCAGCAGCACCAAGTCTCCACTTCGCATCCCAGTGTAATGGGAGTGTAAGATTGCTCTCTCCAAAGTGTATCTCAGAAAAAGGAGGTTTAATTCAAACAAACTGAGAGGAGGGAAGTAATTAAATTCAATCTGAAAATGGAGAAAGAAAAATGAGAGAGAGAGAGAGAGAGAGAGAGAGAGAGAGAGAGAGAGAGAGAGAGAGGTGTTGATGAGACAGAAAAAGTAAAAGAAACCAATTTTATTTGCCTTCCATCTTTGGCCCTGACATTCATTAGAATTTCTGTGCTAACTCAAAAGCCACTAATTTCTTTGAAACCCACACTAATCCCTTTGTAGTGCAGATAATGGGTACACATCCTGCAGTCATCTTCCCTTTCTGCTAATCCAATAAGGGAAACAGCATGGCTACCACAGACCCAACTGCAACTTCACCCCATTGTTCCTATTTCCATCAAGCACAGATGACACTTCAGGCTTCTCCCACATATTATGCTACATCCATCACTGCTCCCCCCTCCCTCAAGCTTCCACAGAGGCTTGCTTGTCTTTTGTTGAATGAGAAAAGCTATCTCCCCCTCCCTATCTTTCACAGCCAGCCTTTCTCTCAAGCTCCTGTGAATTGGCTTCATCCGCTCCCACTTACAACTGGGACAAAGACAGTGGCCAGCTTGATTAAAATTCAAATACTGATGGCATACTCTCTGGGTCTCTGGGTCTGAGCAGCGGCTGCTGGCAGGAGAGGCTGAATCACAGCTGCACCACCACCATCCCACCCTGGGTCAGTCAGCTCCCACTCCACATCCTCTCTGTCACCCCACCTGCCTGATGCACAAAACCTGACATAATACCTTTCCACAGAGTGCTTTCTGCCCATCTTCTGCAGTGGAAACAACATTTCACTTTATTTTCTCCAAACAAGGAAATTAAATTGAGCCAGAGCAAATCAGAACCCATAATTGTAAATAGGAGGTAATCACACTAAATAGCCCACAACTGGGGTGGGTTTTAACTGCAATTTCTTGAGAAATAAGGAACAAAAGAAGAAAACACCAGCTGGGAGTAGTGTAAGATTTCTCTATCTGCAGATTATATTCCCTTTTTTTGTTGTATTATATCCCATTAGAGGCTTTCTTTGGGCACATGCTACATTTCAAAATTTTAAAGAGAGGCTAATGTGTCTTTCTCTATGTGTTCAAGCAGCACCCCATGTACTGGAAGAGGAGATACCAGAAGTGATCTAAGCAAAGCCTGAGCCCCATTTATCTCATTCAACTGTCTTGTTCTTGCTCACAAATAATGTAAGAATTGCTTTACTGAGTTGAGTCAAAGGTCCATCTGGAGCAGCATTCTAATTCCAGCTGTCACCTGCTGGATGCCTCCAGAAAACATATAAATCGCACAGGACAGCAATGGTATTTCCCTGTTCTTTTCCCACACTATTGCCTAGTATTGCACATTCAAAGGTACACTACTCCTGGATGTGGAGGCTTTGTTTAGCTATTTTGCCTAATAATACTGGACAGTCCTGATTTCTGTGTGTCCAAACCTCTGAGGTACCTCTAAAATACTTGCCTTTGTAGGGGCAAGACCATACATCCATAACATTTACTTCATTCCAGACAGACAGACAGACAGCCAAAGTCACTGGCCAACCTACTAGCCAAACAAGAAATGGGTTATTCTACATACTTGGTGACAGACTGCCGTTTTAACTGTTCCTTAATACCATGCATTTTGGATAGAGCTTGCTGATGAGCATAAGCCTTGTTGGGACATCTCAATGGCAGAGGACATACTTTGCATGTAGAACATCCCAGGCTTGATCTCTGGCATCTTCAGGCAGCCAGGACAGGAGAAACCCCTGCCTGAAACCCTGGAGAGCAGCTGCCAGTCAGTGTCATCAATACTGGGTAGGATGGACCAATGATCTGACTCAGCCTCTCATGCTCCTAGGATTACCACACTCAGCCCAGTCTCTTTTAGGAGTAAAAACACTCCCTTGTCTTGCTACTCTGTCCAGACAATCCATTCTTATTACTGCCTTCCAAATTAATTAATGTGGCCTAGGTCTTAACTCCAATTACTGCAATTGCAGGGATTTCTACAAATAGGAACACAACAGAACATCCAGGAGATCATAAAACACACACACACACACACACACGAGGTAGGCATCACAATGTCACATGAATGGATCTAGTACTACCTCCTAACCAACCAGAATTTTACTGAATGTTATCCACTTGGCCACTTGACAGAACTGGAAGGTAAAAAGACAATAAATAAATGAATAACCCAGCTATGTTCTTTTTGCAATGAATATAAGTGTGTGTGTGTTGACATAACATGCAAACACATCTGTGCTGAATACCATACAGCAGTGGTGGGTGCACTTATACTACACAGTTCATGGCTGCATTGTGACAGTTTCTTGCCATGGCTGAATATGCACACATGCACATACTCCATCGCCCTCCAGAAATTGCTGAACTGCAGCTCCCTTCAATCCTGACAGTGGCCATCCTGGAAGGCTACAGGTTTCCTACCCCACCATACAGCATCTCTGATGATGGCATGGCAAAGGTTCTACAAACACTGAGCATCCTGGGATCTAAAGTAGCTACCTTTGTGCTCCTAGATAGAAGAAGCTGGCTGACCGACTAGGCTCATTCCTACTGAGGTCAGTGGGTTAAAAATTAAATCACAGTAATTAACCCCATTGGTTCCAATGAAACCTATGTTCAATTAACTTTGCGTCCAATCCTGTTGTCACTAGACCAGAGGTCAGTAACCCACAGCTCTGGAGCCGCACGTGGCTCTTGAATCCTTCTGCTGCATCTCCGTTGCTCAAAATACGTGTCACAGCCCCCGATCTATGACCCGCACTGGCACAGCACAGCTGCTGATCTGTTTCATTAATGCAACACACTATAGTTTTTTTATATATAGCATAAAGATAAAAAATGATATATGCAGTGTTATTTTCATTTTAGAGGTCAAAAGATTTTTGTGGCTCCCAGTATTTTCTTTTCTGTGGGAAACAGATCCAAATAGCTCTTTGAGTGTTAAAGGTTGCCAACCCCTGCACTAGACGCTGTCTAGGCAGCCATGGTGTAATTAGGAGTTCCAGCTGCAACATTCCAAGGTTGAAGCTGGGACTGTGAATATGGTAAACCCCCTCTCTTTAGCCCTTGCAGCTGGTGTAGTTCTTCCCATGCCAGCAGCAGCACCAAGGCTGCAAAGCTAACTTGCCATCCAGTGAGGAATCCTGGCTCTGGAGAATACTCAGATGGCCAAAGTGGCTGTCTTGGTGCTTTGAAAGGGGAGAGGAGTGCCAAGGCAATCCTTCCTGTGCCTTCTTTCCACTGGATGGCCACAGTCCTCCGAGTTTGGATGGTTATGGGTAGCTACCCTTAGGGTGCAATAATATATTTATCTAAACAGACAATCTTACAGCTCCCAGTAGTGTTTAATGACAAGCCTTTTCTCTCAACTTGGAAGCATTCATTATCATAACTCTTCCAAGTATGAAGGCATCTGCCTCCCACCACAATGGGTTGGAAAACAAGACTGGGAGATGGATAACTTGCTTAAAAGCACTTTTGAATCCATAGTGGAGCTAGGAATTGAACCCTGAATTCCAAGCCCACCCTGGGCTGTGCTGCCTCCCCGAAACTGTGCTTTTCTCTTTTGGCATGGAACCTGCATCCTGGCAAGAAAAAAGGAAGGTGCAGCAAAACATCAATACTTACCAGTGTTCCCTTGAATGTCCTCTCCCTTTTTGAATCCAGTTGGGATGAATGAAAGCTTTGGGCATTGGTTGCCCTGACTGGAAAGCTGCTGAGGAGGGGCACCACTCAGGATGACACCCCAGTCTATGCGGCTGATATCTGATCGGGACCGGTTATGTCCAGGCTTGAAAGTGGCAGCTTCCTCGTTTTGCACTATGATATCATTCACAGAGCGGGGCCGATTCCGCCGCCTCTGGCAGATGTTAAATATGTTGAAAGTTGAGACTTCCTTCTGTTCCACCCAGGACAGGTTGTCTGGAACCATCCCTCTTTGTACTCCAAATGTTTCTTTGGTAGAAAATGCATTATGTGCTTTGGTTTCCAAAAGCCCATTTTTGCAGTGTTCCCAGGCAAGGTTATTCTTTCCCAGAGATGTTAAGTTCCTCAAGTCATCACAGGCTGCAATCTTATTAAACACTTCATGCCCAACCAGTTCAGGAACTTCCTGAATTCCATAAACTTCTGGTGGCTGCACATTTTCTAGCTTGGCATCCAACGTACTGAAGAAATCTTCAGTCACTTCCAAGGCAGGGCTGATGTCATCAACTTCTAAGGCCTCCATTTTATTTGTGTTCAGAACAACTGAAATTTTGGGTGTACTGCGTCAAAGCACAACATAAATGCCCAAACATGGGAGGAAGCCTCCTCTGGAAAGATTTTAGTGCTGCCTGAACCTGGAGGTGACAGGATTAATATGAACAGAGCTATCCCATTATTTGACTTCAGGAGTTATGGTTGACTTCCATTTGTTAAAGTGCCAGTGAGGGATACCTTGTCCTCCTGTTTCCCTTTCTAAATGTAAGCTTGGAAGGAAAGTTGTTAACTGTTCAGCAGAAATCCTCTGCAGAATCTGGATTTTCCTGCAAAACATGATACAACACAATTTTAGTTAGGCTATTTTCTCACTGAAGGACAGATGCTCCAGGGGTGGGAAGAACACTGACATAAAGAAATAAAAAAGCTATGCCAGATCAGACTGATGGTCGTGCTACTAAAAGGCCTACAAAGAGTCAATGATTAGGGGTTCTTTAAGTATGGGTCATCACTTCACTGGAATTACTAAAGCAGATGAGTAGAGCTGCAAGCTCTCGACTCCTGGGGAACAATGGCCCTAGGCTGCACTGAACAGTCCAGGACCTGGCTATCTAAAGGAATGTGAAAGGTGTGGCAGCAGCATAAGACAGATACACTTCCTCCATGTGCTCCTTTTGTACATACATTTCAACACATACAGCTCTTTTATTCTGTCTACCTTACCTAGTAAACATCTTTTCCACCCCCTTGGAGAACTTTCTATTGCATCAATCCCTAACCATCCACTCTTTAAATGCTAAGTTTTAACCAGAACCCCCTTGCAATTTTTCTATAACCATGAGGATTAGAAAGACATTGTTCATTCTTTTTTAATCCAAAACTTAAATCAGGTGTGGGAAAACAGTTTCCTTTCAAGATCCCTATTACCTCAGTCAAAACTTTCCTGAGTCTGCATTCCAGCAATGGGTATAGCAGGAGCCAAATTTAATGGAATTACTGAAGTGATGTGTGCCTTTGTTGAACAACAACAACAAAAAACCCTTATTTGCATCTAAGCATTTCTTCCTCAACTTGTGAAAGGTTTCCTGCATTAGTTTTGGTGGTTGCAGGACAAAGCAGGGCAGGATAAACAGTACTGAAAACCCAGAGCAGAAGCAGTGCAGGAGTATGGCCCAGCAGTTTAGACTGAGAAGCCAAGGGGTCTAGATTTGGCCCTGGGCCAGAACTTCCTCAACTGGGTTTAGAAAGCCAGGATTACAACCACACTTACGAGTGAATGTAGCACACTTTGCAGTACCCATATTCTCTAGAGACTCTCTTTCAGCCAAGAACCTAGTTTTGATTTTGATTGAGGGAGAGAAGAATGAGGGCAGCACATCAATGGAGCCAAAGACTCATTCCTCTTGCATCAGAAGGAAAGTGTTTGCATGCTCTGAGCTTCAAAAGCTCTGGAGAAACAGCAGGAATCAATGTGTCAAAGCTTTGTTTTTGTTAGGCTTTTTAGTCCCTAGGACACAGAGTTAAGTGATACCTTAAGCATTAGACCTCTCCTGTATTTGTTTTTCTTTTGGGGGTCAGACTAGATGGCCCGGGAGACCATTTATACTTTCTTCTTCTTGCTAGGAACCCAAGGCAGCTTACATGGGTCTCCTTCCCTCTAATTTATTCTAACAATAGCCCTGTGAGGTAGGTTAGGCTGAGAATCAGTGACTAGCCCAAAATGACCCAATGGGCTTCCTGGCTAAGTGGAGACTAGAATCCAGATCTCCTGATTCCCAATCCACCCTTAGACACTACAACACTACTCTCTTAATAGTAACTTAAGAGAAATTGGGAGGAAAGGGGGCGGGCTGGTAGGAGAAGGAATAAGAGACAAGAGACTGCGATATGCAAGATGCGATGGCTTGTCCAGTCCTCTTCCACCAAACAAAAGATAAGTCAGTTAGATGGGCTAAAAGGCCAGTCTAGCCACTTTCTGCAATTTGAATGGAAGAACTGTCCTTCCTCTTGCCTGTCAGGCTCCAGCTGGCAGAGCACAGAATAGACAGGACTCTGCTCTGTCTGTCAAGGTACAATCCTATGAATGATCATTCAAAAACAAATCCCACACTTTCCAGTATACCCCAGACAGCATGGTGCTGAATCACAGTATGCATTCAAAACTATTTTACATATTTCAGTTGTAAAACACAAGGCTATGGCAGGAAGACATGACTCAGCATCAGTACATAAGCGAGTGATTTCCACTGGGCAGTTATAATGAAAAACAATTCTCAGAAGTGTGTGTAGTTTTCTTTTTTCTAGAAAAGGACGAGGCTGATTTACAAAACAGAAACCTATCAGCTTTGCTTTTATAACAACTGCAAAGGAAATGGCTGTCATTAGATAGGTAGAATGAGAGCCTTTAAACTGCAAGGGTTCTTTGGGAAACATATCCCTGTGTGTCATCAGCACAGAAAAGCACTGAATATGATGGGAGTGGGGAACCTATTTCTGTCCAAAGGCCAAATTCTATCTCAGACAAACTCTTGGGGACTATATTCCAGAGGTGGGCAGGGCCAGAAACACAAAAAATGCCAGCCTATTTTAGTGTAAAGTTCTTACTGCTGGCAGCTAAGCCTTCATAAGGAAAAAGGATTCTCAGTCTTTTAGAACTGCCCAAAACCCTGGAGATCACCAAGCAAAGCACTGAAGGTGGCAAGGCTGTTCCCATCTGAAAAACCTGGAGGGAGGATTAGGATCCCAGGAGGCTGGGATTTGGCCTGGAGCATGAAGTTTCCCACCCATTTTACATGATCTCTGTTAATGGAAGGCTAGGCATTGGCTTTGCCCTCAACACAGCAGTATTTCCAAATGCAGCACTATCCTCTTTGCCTTAACAGAGGACAGCCACTGTTCACACATGAGGGTCAAAACGAAGGACAGCATACCACTGGGCTGAGGCTAAGCTTATGCTCCTCTCCAGTGTCCCATGTGCCCTGGCAAAGAGAGCTTTGCCCCACCCACTCTGAACTGAGGAGCAGATCATACCCTGAACTGAGTTTGCCCCCACATAACTTAAGCAAAGTCACAAAGTATCAAGCCTGCTCCAACACACATGGTTCATTCCTGGATTCTGTTCCTGGTTGTTAAGCAGAACGCCCTGCTGAAAGATGACAGGAGCTTGTAAACTGGCATAAAGAAAATCACCACTAAAGTTCTCAAGCTTCTGTTCCAAATGTGCATTTCAGAGTTCAGAATGAGGGATGCAAAGTTCAACGGAGAAACTCCCTGAAGTTGTGGGCTTCAACTAGAGTCCTATGGAAAAGGAATGCTTTTTCAAAAGCACATTCCCAGCACTTATTTATGAAGCACTGAAAGGAGCCTTCAATGGTTAGGGGAGATACTATTTTATTCAGTCCAACCATTTCTCCTCATCACAGATTGCAATTTATGCTTCCCTGAATTAACAAACCTATTTGCCCTCTCCTCCAATTGCTCATGATTTCAAATCCTTCCCAATCCGTTAGCTCACATCTGAAGCTGGTAAGAAACATAAATGTCTGTTCCACAGTCCTAGCAACCAAAACTAAAATTCAGCTGAGCTTCATCTAAGGAGCTCCAATGCATATAAGTGGTAAACCAGATACTCAGCTTAGCTCCATGGAGACAGAAACCAGCTTTTAATTAAAGCAATGAAGAATGGTCCAAGCAAAGAGGATTCCAAGGAAATCTACTAAGCCGATATGCTAATCTAGTTATCTAAAGACCATTTCATCCATCATTTTCCACATGGATTTTTATCTGTTAATGTTAATTAACACTTGCCTTCCCACTCAAGCACAATTTAAAATACAGAAATGGAAAAAGAAACCACAGAGTGGGTTAGTTGGCGTGATGAGGCATTTCACTCAGTACAGTCTGGGTTGTTCATGGAACAGCTCACAGTGCACCTGACAGATGTCTGGACTCACCGTGGGTTGTTCGTAATTCCTTCTTCCTTGACTCCTCCAGCAGTATCCAATGGGACTTTGCTGCAGAAACTGTATTGTTTCCTCTCCCTGCTTCTATCATGAGCCTTGTTACAGACATTGTAATTCCCCCACTTTTTTCTGAGATCATCTTTTTATGATCTCCAAAGTGGCAGCTAGTGACAGCTCCTCCAGAGTATTCAAGCAGCACACTGGAGGGACCATCACTGTTTGACTGCCTTTTTTATTTCAATTGCACCAGAAATATGTGCAAATAGCTTTGGTAATTTGTGGGGGATGAAGTTGGTAGTTCAGAGTTATCATTTCTATCCTGCCCAATAGCCAAAGCTAGTTGGGCAATGTACAGCAATTCATAAAATATAATAAAATACAGTATGAAATATAACAATGAAAATAATATGAAATTTCCCTACTAACAATTAAAAGCTGGATTCTAAAACATATTTAAACAACCTGACTAAAACAAGTTAATACAACTAGACTTGGTAAAATAGCTAGCTTAAGGCTCCCATGTACTATTTAGTGCTGTTAAATGTCTTGACATAGAAGCCAGTTGTAACCTAGCCCTGAAAGGATAACAGAGTTGGTGCCAGGTGTGCCTCACTGGGGAACTTGCTCCATAATTGGGGTACTACGAATGAGAAAGCCCTCTTCAGCTGGAGAAAGCCTCACATGTTACAGAAGTGTTCAGCCCCAACTACCCCAAATTTGAAGATTCCTGGGCAATCTGCTGGTAAGTTCCTGTTGTCAAACCTAGCAGCATGCATGGACACTGATGTATCTGGGCTTCAAATACTATCAGTCTGCTTTTACTTCACAGCTGTCAAGTAAAAGGCAAGTGGTGAGAAGGTCTTTGCTTAGAAATTAGGACAGCAAGTAGAACAACCCCTTCACAGGAAGACCATCTGGTAATCTTACCCCAGAGCTCTCACTCTGTTGGTACCTTGATGCTGAAAACTGTTTACCACTTCTACCTTTATTGCCAAACTCAGTGCATACAACCACACTGAGATCCTACCATGCTTCTTAGGCATGTTCATCACCAAGTAGTAGGGCAACATGTTTTCCTCCATCCTGGGTAGAAGCTGTGCTACTATGTGATCAGCTGTCTTCAATTTCCTGCTTGTTTCACAATGACTTCCAGTCTGACATTTCACCAGCTGGCCTTGAATGGTGGAAAGAAGATGTAGCTCAATGCAAAGGTAGAACTAAGGCCAAACACTGACTCACCAGAGAAATCATGTGGTGCAGTGACCTTTCCAAAGCATTTGGTATGTCATCACCTAGACTGAGCATTTATGCAAGTAGATGAAGAAGGCATCAAACCTTGCTACAACCCAGCAATGCCTGAAGCA